AATCTGGCTTGCCGAGTCATCTGGCATCCGCTTAGAATAGATCATTTGTGTTTTTTAACGCACGAAAGAAATGATTCATTATTCTTAAGAACTCTATTAGGAATAGCTGGTGGTGTTGATTAAATGGCATTATGTAGAGGTGGCTGTGTGTGTTCTGTTTTTTTTTTTTTCATAAGGAATTTATGTTATCGTAGCTATTTTGTTTGAAACCTTTGTCTCTCTCTTTCTCTCTCTCTCTCTCTCTCTCTCTCTCTATCTATCTATCTATCTATCTATCTATCTATCTCTATCTCTCTCTCTCTCTCTATCTATCTATCTGTCTCTATCAATCTATCTATCTCTATCTCTCTCTCTCTCTCTCTCTCGCTATATATATATATATATATATATATATATATATATATATATATATAACTCTCTCTCTCTCTCTCTCTCTCTCTCTCTCTCTCTCTCTCTCTCTCTCTCTCTCTCTCTCTCTCTCTCTCTCTCTCTCTCTTTCTCTTTCTCTTTCTCTCTCTCTCCCCTACCTCCTTCCCTCTTCTTCCGCCTCCCCCCTCTCTCATTCCTCTTTTCCCTCTCTCTCATCCCCCTCTCCTTCTCTTTTTCCCCCCCAGGTACGAGGCAAGAGAGCGTGGAAGTGGTCCGGGTGCCACGACAACACCCGGTTCGGTGCCAGGTACTCGAGGCACTTCCTGGACGTGCGGGAGAGAGCCAAGGACATGATCTCATTCACGCACCTCTATAATAACGAGGTCGGCAGGAAGGTGGGTTCCTGGGGGCGGGGCGTATTTTTGGTGGAAGTGTAGGTATGCTTACGTACATGAATACATACATACAGCCATGCATTCATACATGGAGACATACATACACACATCCATTCATCCATCCATACATTCATACATGCATACATTCATACATACATACATGCATACATACATACATACATACATACATACATACATGCATGCATACATACATACATACATACATTAATGTGCACGCTCACACACATATGTACGTATACCTGTATATGCTTTATTAAATACAGACAAACATACATGCACTCATACATCATTACATACATACATATATATACATACATACATACATATGCATGCATACATACAAACATACATACATACATACATACATACATACATACATACATTCATACATACATACATACATACATACATACATACATACACGCGAGATATGGTGAGATAGAATACTTACACATCTATACATCAACATTCATTGATATCTTTGAGCCAACAGAGAGCTAACACAAATTAAATCACACAAGGACGTCGTCACAAAATACCGATGAATTTCTGAAGTAAACAAATCGTTCGGGATCTTGACCGCACACAAATTCCTGAAGTATCTGAACGAACGAGACAGTTATCTCTGAAACATTTCCCTAAAACTAAACAAGATAATCAAATAATGAAATAGATAAAGAGATGGATAAAATGAAATAGCTAATTAGAATGAAATACCTCACTAGACAAGCACTTGATTCACTCCCTCCCTCCCTCCCCCTCCACAGCTGGTCCGCCGCAACAGAGAAGTCCGATGTAAGTGCCACGGGATGTCTGGCTCCTGCGAAGTCCGGACTTGCTGGAAGGCCGCCCCTGACTTCCGCAGAGTGGGCGACATGCTGAAGGAGAAGTACTGGAAGGCCAAGTCGGCAGCGAGTGAAGTCTTCGGAAATTCGGCCAACACGGCGAGCATGTACCGGCCCGTCAGGAGGTAAGGTTGATGGCGAGGAGGTGTTGCCGTCGGGAAAAAGAGAGGGTTGTGTGATTGATATTATTTGTTTATTGGTGTTATGTTCAAGATTTGTGGAGTCTATAAATAGTAGTTTTTGGCGGGGGGGCGATATTTACGTGTTATATATATATTTTTGTTCCTTTCTTTCCGAATTTCTTTTTTGTCGATATTTTTTTTTTTTAGATTTCTTTTTTTTGTTTGTTTGTTTTTTGTCGTCGTCGATCATGGAACCATGAAATCCATTTCATAACGTGTTGGAAAGGTATGATTGAGAATGAGTATCTTCACCTTGACTGGATTATACCTCCGTCAGAAATGACATGTATTTCCAACGAAGCTCTAATCGAAGCCGGTCTGATCCATCTCTTGCACGGTGGAGGTACTCATAGCCGTTCTTACCTCTCCTCCATGTGGCTTACCGAACACTCTTTAAAACCCGTTCTTCCACCACAGGGAGATCAGCCCGGACTCCCCTCTGCTGTACGTCGAGCGGTCCCCTACGTTCTGCGAGGTGGACGGTCGCCTCGACGTGGCCGGGACGGAGGGCCGACACTGCAACCGCAACTCGACGGGTCCGGACTCGTGCGATTCCCTGTGTTGCGGCCGCGGCTACGACCAACAGCGGCAGAAGGTCAGCCGGAAGTGCCACTGCCGTTTTAAGTGGTGCTGTCATGTCACTTGTCAAGACTGCTCCGAGGAGAAGTGGATTTCCGTGTGCAAGTGA